GGGGGTGGGGGGGGGGGTCTTCGACCTGAAAAATCAGGGGTTAGGATTTGCACCCGGTCGAAAGAAACCTTGCTATCGCAAGAGTAACTCCAGCTAGCTTCGCTAGCTTTCGTGACTTGACGACTCTAGCGATAACATGTGATGACGAAACAGTTTCACCATGCATCTTCTGCATCACGAACTCAGCCCAAATGGTCTCTGCCAAAAAGTAGAAACGCTACGTAGCAGGTCGTACAAGTAGTCGCATCTGCCCCCACACCCCTTAATTATCACTTTGTTCGCAAAAACTAATTTCAGCCCAGCCTATCGATTGGCTTTCGATATAAGCCTTCTAAAGAAACTCCAACAGCGATTGACAAAGTAAGCTAACCCTGTTTATTGATCATAGCCAGCATCACCCAAAGGGTGGTTAAGTTAATAGACCCCCCTGAAGATGCAGTCTCCATCCAATGATAGCCTTTTGGGTGGTGCTGTAGGTGGGCATATTTCTTTGACCCTCCCAGTTTTCTCAAGTGTCCACACCTTGCCTGACGCACTTCGAGGTCCTCCGACGCACGGAAGCTTCCTCCCTCCTGGAGACACCGGAAACGCGGAGAGAAACGCACGCCAGGTCACCCAGGTGGCCGCCATAACCGCTTAATGCTCAAGTTGCTTTAAGCAGGTCACCCTTAATTACAAAATTCAAGATGTCCAGAAAATCTAATTCAAGTCTTGATTGATTGAGAATTGTAATAAATTGTTTGTCCAAAATCCTGGGTTTGGGCTCCAGTATGAAAGAGTCCAGGTCCAGGACTAAAAAAACAGCTCCAAACATGCAAAGAAAGAAACCCCGGAACAAGAACTCATGGAAAAAGTCAGCAATAAACTCACGAAAGCAGAATGAAAGCAAACCAAAGCAGAAAGACAGCAAATGAACACAGAATGAAAGCAAAATGATGAAGGAAAACCAAAATCGTCCAACTGCCAAACAAATGTTTGGAAATAGTTGAAAACCCTTCTCAAAAGCTTCACTTCCACAGGCTTGCAAAGGGTACCCCTTACAAGTGTCAAGGTCCACAATTGTAAAACCATCTCCCTGTTGCGGCTTGCTTTGGACTGTTTTCCTTTACACACCTAGTTCAAAAGTTATCTCGCAAACAAAAGCAAATGAGCATACATAATGCAGGCAAATGAAAGCAGAATGAAAGCAAAATGACAAGCAGAATGAAAGCAAATCAACATAGATCAATGCAGCATGAAATCAACATGAAAACAAAAAGCAGAACGACAGCAAAATTAAAGAACATCAAATCAGAATGAAAGCAAATGAAAGCAATATGAAAGCGCATGAAGGCAAAATGCAAGCCATATGAAAGCACATGACGCGAGAATGCACGGAAAATGAAAGTAGAATGAAAACAAAATGAATGCACATGAAAGCAAATCAAATCAGAATGAAAGCAAATGAACGCAATGAAAGCAGAATGAAAGCAAATGAAAGCAGAATGAACGACATTGAAGGCAAATTAATGCAGAATGAAAGCAAATGAAAGCAGCATGAAAGCAAACTGAAAGCAGAATTAAAGCAAGTGAAAGCAGAGTGAAAGTATAGTGAACGCAGTTGAAAGCGAAATGAAAACAAATGAAATGAACTCCAAACAAAACACATTATAATAGCGGCACCCCCGGGAAAGACTCTTAAAAAAGGAGACGTTGTCCCCTCCTTATTCATACGAATCTCACATCAGAGAATCGATCAGCATCTATCTGCCAAAGAGAAGTAGGGGGCACATAGTAATAGAACCCATAGATATATACAGAACGACTCGGTCACACCGCGACTCTTTCTCGGGTCACCCAAGGAGCGGAGGAACAAAAAACACACCTGAGTTTCCAGAACGGGACAAAAGATGAAGAAATCCTCGCACCAAAGGATACAGTTGACCAATCACCATGGAAGATTGCGCCCTGAAAGAGGCCCACATGGAACCTGAAAGAGGCCCACATGGTTGTAGAGGAGCATCGCCTTCCACAGGTCCATGGCTTTCAGGTTCGTTGATCTTCCCGGGTGCGTCATCCTGACCGATCACGTGCCGCGGGCGCAGCGGGTCCTTCAGCTTCAAGGCCTCCGGCAACGCCGTGTGCGATCGGAGGCACGGGAAGGAGTGGAAGGACGGTGTCTGGACATCCGAACATGGTAGGTTTCAAGGGCCCCGCAAAGGGCAGTAATTACTCGATCAAATCCATTCAAATCCAATAGCTCCAGCGCCACGGATAGGGTGGTAACTGGAGGGAAAAGACGTAGATCAGGGGCACGTGTCCATAAACCACCCTAGACCCGTGGTGCTGGATATGATCTTGTCATGTTTAAATACTTCCCCGCAGATTCACATGGAACCCCAAAACCGCCTGGGTTGTACGGGTTGTAGAGGTCAATGGTCCTCCACCGGATGACTCCGGATGTTTCTCGCTGTAGACGAAGACCATCGTATTCGTCCCATCCATCCGTACCGTCCATCCATTCACTGGAAATCGTCTAGAACCTTTGGAGCCTCATGTTCTCAGCGAACTGGGCCGGGAACTGTTTTTTTTTTCGAATTTTCACGCCAAGTTCCGAAGGGCTATTGCATCTCGATGTTGTTTAAAGCACTAACCATGCAGTCCACATCCTTCACTGAAATTGACCATTGATATTATTGTTTGAACGTTTTAAAGCACCAAACATCACTGTTCTCTAGACACTGCTCCTTTTTTGCGTCTGAATGATGTCCGTTCACATCGGGCAGGCTCCTGGCCATCCCAATCAGGACTGGGTTTGGATGTCCCAGCAAAATTCACAGAACCTGTGTTTAACGGGGGGCCCTGAAACATCTCTCGACATCTCTAATTATCATGGTCAAGCAAGTCTTGTCCCCACCTGCTCTTCAACTTCCTCTTCAGGATCCTTGTTCCACTGCTCTGACTCTTCTGCCTTGCCCCAGTGCAAGGGGCGGCAAATCCGCCAAAGCACAATCCGACCCCATCAACAGGCCCACAGGCAAACTTGTCAAACGGACCTTGGTAACCCTTGATCTCTCCAGCAATTCCATGTCCACTCACACGGGGAAGCCCTTTTTTCGCCTGAAGAAGTTTGATGTGAATCCCATCCTGCTCCAGTTCAGGGATGGAACAACCCTGAGACAGAACTTAAAGAAATCCTAAACCATCCTAGAATGGGAGAATGGGAGGGGCCCTTGATCGAACTGCCGTTCACCCAAGGAATGTATTTTTGTCCTTCCTGTCTCGTTCTTCTTTTTGGAGACATGTGACATGTGTATATATATATATAATATAACTATCTATATATAGGTACCGACGGCGGTATGTCACCTTCGGCCCCGAGTCCATCAAGTTGGAGCGCTGACCCCTTCGTCCGGTGGAACGCTCCAACTGATCGCAGGTCCCCAGCGCCAGCGGTTCGCAGGTGCCACCACGAAGGCCGAAAGCTAGACTGCTGGACCCTTTGGTTTCCCCCCAAACAACGTCCGCGAACAGCCACAGTCCACTCACACCGTCATCCACCTCCCACTTCAGGCCTGGGGCTCCTGAGACCAATCCTGGGGCTGCTGAGACCAATCCTGGGCCTCCTGGGGCCACTCCTCGGGCTCCTGGGGCCACTCTTCGGGCTCCTCCTGCCACTTCGAAGCCTGCCATTGGTCCTTCCAGCTGGCCTCCTCTTCACCCCAGTCGTCCTGAAGCCACGAGCCAACGCACACGTGCCACACGTGCCACACGTGCACAGGCTCAGCATTCAACAAGTGGATAGCATCCATACCTGTCCATACCTCATCTCCCCTCGCCACATGCTAACCTCTATTTTGAGACCATTCAAAATCGTAGGCCGGCACATGATTCAGGAACTCTGGCTCCTTGGTTCCGGCTTTAAACTGGGAAAATGGATGGAGAATATATACTTACCAAAAAAAAACTATCCAACTAATATATGCGTGTGTGTTGTTGTGATTTACACATACTCACTTTAAAAAAAAAAAAAACATTCTGCAGTATCACACACATACTATTATGTGTGTGATTGTGTGTGTGCATGTTACAATCTCTACCCCGGGCTCCGTAGCTCCCTCCTCACCAGGCTCCGTAGCTCCCTCCTCACCAGCTAGTAGACCCATGACACGCTGGTCGCACTCCCCGCGCGATCCGCCGGACCGCCCCGCGACCCTCGGGGCGGTCGGGTGGGAGCGACGAGGCGCTGCGCATACGCTCCCTGGAATCGAAGTAGCCCCACTTCTTGATTACACTATGACCCACGTCACATGGAAGTGGAACATGGTCCCTTGGAAGACCACTGTCCTTCACGAACAGGGGGCGACCTCCACTTCCATGTGATGTGTTCGTCGGAGGGTGTTTTGTGTTTTTTACTCCAGGTCGGCCCATACCATCCACTTCCATCGCTTCCATGATTGTTCGAGGGAGTCTCGGTGTTGGTTGTTTTGTTCATACCGAAGGGGTGGGTGCAATTTGGAGCGTTTGTCCTCCCTCCGCGTTCTTCTGAATCATGGTCTGATCATGTCTGATTTAGCCAGGAAAGGACTCTATCATGTTCCACCAAGCTCCCAGAACTCCCAAATATCCCGAGAAGCCTCAAGACACCAGAAATCCTGCCCTAGAGCTCCAACCACCTGAGGATCTGCTTGGGAGCCCGGTCTCTTAGATCCATCCTTTCCGGATCTCGACGTCCTCAGACCGTGCTGTCTCGCCTCCCACTCGGGCACAGCCACTGCAGCAGCCTCGACCTCGATCTCACCAGAGCCGACCCGACCGCAGTGGCCCAGTGGCCGGGCGGTTGAGGTCTTTGTGCCGAGATCCGAGGTGCGCGCGGGGGTTCGTCATGCGGCATGCGTCTAGCTGTTAAAGCTGGCCATCCTGTGAATGGGGAAGTGCCCAAAGACCCTTTGCGAGCCAATCAATGGAGGCATCATGCTACATCCACTGTTTGCAAGCGGGGCTCTTTCAACTAAAACAAAAAAAACCTGCAAACTATATATAACATGGAAGCCCAAAAAACACCTGGGGCCGTATTCGGAACATTGTCTTTCACCACGAGTCATGCCGGTTCCAGGTTCCAGGTTTCTCAGTAGACACATGGGCGCCTCGCGAGCGCCTTGCAAAAATGCATCGGCTGAAGTTGGCTGAAACTCTCAGGCTACCCCTTCTTCGCTCCATTCATCTCCAGCAACATCCCCTTCTTCGCATTCTGACACCTCCGGACCCCCGGGGATCCCAGGAGGGTCCTAACTCGGTGAGAGTCGCTGCAAACGTCTGGAGAGAACGAACGGGTTTCGGGTGGCAGGTGATGAAGGGTCCGTACCCCCCATGAAGGGCCCTTGAGGATCCTCTGAGACTCTAACGCTCCATGGGACTGGAATAGATGCCAATCAGGCCAGGGGTGGTGGTGCCAGGGGGGTCAATGTATAGGCATATATGGCAGTCCCATGGAGTGTATGGGTTAGGGTAGTGGGTCGAAAAGATCTGCCGCCCTGACCACTCCACAAAACCTGACCACTCCACGAAGCCGCTGCATTGAACTGTTGCATCGAGATTGTTTTCATTTGCAAGATTTGAGTCATTGATGAACGTGCAGTGACACTTTTGACACTTCCTGAGCCTAGGCCCTCGAGCACTTGCGCAGTGACATGGAACGTCATGGGCCATTGAAGGCGACATGAGAGTAGCACACTTATCTCACAAACATGTGTGCCGAGTGGAGCCCAGAATTCCACCATGAAAACTGAGTTTTGCAAAAGATGTTTTCTAGCCATACGCCAGGGCCACCGGAGGGGGTGTCTATGCCGTATTCCGCATGCCCCTTGAAGATCCTTGAAGATCAAGGGCTCCACCCCGACCGGCCACGACTCATCAAGGCACGTCCGAGAAAAAGGGGTGTCTGATAGAAGAAGACCCTCCCGGTTCGACAAGACCCTCCCAGTTCGACAAGACCCTCCCGGTTCGACAAGGCCTTCACCAGTCTGCTCAGTGGTTGGAAGCTTCCTGATCTTGAGGATTTACCCACATGATTCTTCGTCCATACTCCCCGAAGTTGCTTGAACACGGATCTGGATCACAAGCCGTTTGACATACTTTCACCGTGCACCATCGTTGTGCATTTCCACACCGTTGGAATTGCCATTTCAATATATGTCAAATTATTTCAACATCCCCCTGAAAGGACATGTAACATGTAATTCTCCTCATAATCTTTGGTATCAAAAACGTCAATGAAAGGTCTAACTTTCCCACAGGACTGATGTCATGCACTGGCTATGGAAACACTCATTGATGATCATTGATGAAGTTTCGAGTCGTTTCGTGCGCAACTGGCTTGCATTGTTCATGGATAGTCACATAGTCACAGTCGCACAGTGATGTAATGTACTTGCAATTGCCTAAGGAACATCTTCGCCGGAAGGGGGAGGAAAACCCATGGAGAAAACGATGTCAAACCCAACGAACCTCGCCACTGAGCTTTGGGGGGTTGGACGTGTTGCCGTTGAGAAACAACGGCGTCTGCCAAACAAAGACGTCTCGAAAAACGAGTATCCCGCACTTCTGCGCAGATTAGTGTACAACTATTTTGGGGGGGCGCTGGGTCTTGCAGCATTCATTCAAAAAAGCTAGCTCCTTATTTCACTCACAAACTGGAAAAGTGTCTTGCCAGGGGCCATCGTCCGCATTGAAGTCATAGTGTAGAGGTCCACTAGTTGCCATTTCGTGGCTTTTGCACCAATGACCCTTGGACTTCGAACTCTCATGGCGCGGAGCAAAAATCCTTGGAGCCGCTGGCAAAGCCAGCCGCTCAGGCGCGCGGCGCGGTTTCCCCGTGGCCGGAGTGATCAAGGCCTACTTGGCGACGCAAAAAAAACAACAAAAACGCATTGTGCTTGACATCATCTTGACCCCAAAAAACTCGAAGCCCACAATGAATATAGGGTTGGTTTTTCACCTCGTTTTTGTGTGCCCAATCCAGTGAATCCTGATGATTTTGGGCCTTGGGATGGGAAGAAAAGGATGGCGATAGTGTTGTGTCCGAGCTGGCGAGAATCTCTTCCATCAACCTTGAGATGGCGTTTGCTGGGGCCAACAAGCGCTAGTGGCATTACCGCAAGTGGTGCACATCTGCAACGCCAAGAGCCCTGCGCCATCACAGCGCTCGTCATGCTGGTGGCTAGTCGCCTACCTACCTCATGCTGCCGATTGCAGCTGTCCTGTCTAATGCAGGTTTGAATTCGCCACACTGGCCGCATCTCAGCAAGGGTCGGGTTTTGTTGAAGTCCCAGTTGGTCGCCACCTACCAAGCATAGCCCAGAAAGAACACATGTATAGACTGCGGGGTCATGGCACCGGATGACCGGCGGTTTTTTCCCAGCGAAAATGAACAGAATAGATACCAGCCAGGTCAACCTACCGTGGGAAACAAAGCTCTAGGTGACCCACAGCCAGATCTCACATCCAACATCCAACTTGTACTGCCATGTGCAGCCCTACCCTCCCCCGGGCTCACCCCATGGATTCCCAATTCAGTTCCCGGAGGCATGTTTTAATCAAGTGATGCCCAACAAGTGGGAAGCCTGCCAAAATCTGCCAAATAGGAACTTGTCCGGGTCAAGATTCAACACCGAAGGGCCATGGTAGCCATGGGATGTTCAATTCTTGTTTCAGAGCACCCTAGCACCCAGCCACTCAGCACCCTACCCTCTCTTATTCTGGAACTCCTTCCACCCTCATCCTTGAAGCTGGCCAGGGCAGCTTGGGCAAGTCATTTTAGCGACACCCAATGAGATTGGAACGATGTGAGTGACCATCAAGTCATGCCTAGTTCATAAAACAAATGGAGGTCAAAATCCTCACTTCTCAAGCTCAACCCCCCTACAGTGCAGGCAGGGTTGATCGCTGAAAACGAGCCATGCAAAGATCGCTCAGGTGACCCCCACGGCTTTCTTCACCACGGTGGTGCTAGAGATCTGCGTGTGTTGACTCAAACCCATTGTCACATAAAGTCGCGTTGAGGAAGCAGATTCAACATACAATTCTTATTCCATCATATTCCCAAGAAGGGGGATCACCCGTCACAAAACAGCAGTAGTTTCAGAGCAAAAGCTCCTTTGGATGGGGTCCATGAAGCATCTCCTCTTGGTGGTTGTGCCGTCATGTGCCATCACTGGTGCCATCTACTCTCAATCCATCATAGGTACGGTATATACTAGGGAATGTAAAATAACCCGATCAAATCCAATCAGCAACAAGGGATCTTTGCACCGCATGAGGTTGCTCACATCCGCCCTGAGGCAGCTCCCCCAGAAGCCGGCGAAGCGGCGCATGTGCGGCTGTCCGCCAAAATATGGGCGAGCAAATGTGCTTCTTATATAATAGTTTTACTTCAAAAATGCCTGGCGCAAGATGGTTGCAGGCAGGAATGTAGGGTGATCTCAAATATGGATTGAAAGTAAAACCCATATTACTTCCCGGTTCTTCAATTTGACCGAACTTGATATCCTAATTTGAGGTCACTTACGCCTCCCAAGGGCTACTTAGTGCACGTAGGAACCCTTAAAAGGTCACCTTGAAGAGGCTGGTTCAAAACATGGCAAAAGTGAACATCTACTCTGGGTGACAACATGCGATACTTGGATTTAATGCACCCCACATCACCCAGCCAGTCAACCCCAAACTGTTGAGGTTGCCACTGACTCTCTCTCTCTCTCTCATCGGAACGCCTTCTCCGCCGGTCTCCACACCAGGAGTTTCTCTGCCGCCTCTTTCACACCCCGCAGCCACCCACTTTGGAGGACGAATTCGAGCGTCTGCCGTCGCTCAACTCCATTCCAAATGCAGTTGCACCCCTTCGCACATCGTCGCACCATTGCCTCCCCCCAACGCCCCCAAAAGAGAAAACATTGAGAAAATCAAACACGATCAAATGATCAAACACGGAATTCCGCAAACTGTGCAAAGGGAAGGTGCATTTTTCAAGGGTGCATTTCCGATCACTGGATATCTTTAGGTTCATTTGTGGGAGGTGCGGTGAATGAAGGTCTGAAGCGAGTTTTTGAAAAACAAATAACAAACATATAACCAATTTTTGACGATACGGCATCCCATGATCAAATAATCGATTATATAAATTGTAAATTGTGAGAGCACGTTTGACAAACATGTTGACTAATTAGTTCTGCGTCTCTGCCGTCTCCTCCATGCCAATTGACAAAAAAGAGGTGAAACCAAGGGAGCCACCTGTCTGAGTAGCTGTCACAACATTTCTCCGGCAAATGCTCGCTTGCGGTGGTCTTCTTAAGCAAAATTCCATCAATACGGTAGATAATTCGCGGAGTGCGGGAGAGAAAGCATTCTGCAATAGGGTTGATGTGTTCGGTGATGCTTGGTGGAACTCAACGTGCTTAGATAACAGTATCAAGAGTCAGGAAGATACGACTGAAAGAGTTATGTGAACCGTTTCTGGATTTCTGGAATGGTTGCAGGTGCTTGAGCTTGCTCTCCCTGTCGAGCCTTGTGTCCGACCATGAAAATGCATTAAACTCTTCACATCTTGCGCCTCAAAAGCTCCTCAGCAAAGCCTCCTGAGCATCGATGTTCTCGGGAACCGAGACACTGCTCGGACAGAAAGTGCTGCACCAATGATCTGGGCCCACCAATTGATCACTGCAAAAAGTTTCACGAGGGTTGCAAAGCCCTAGGGCTCCAACCACCTCTGAGAAGATGGTTGGGGTGAGTGCCAGGGTCTAACCACCTTCTGAGGATATGTGACAGGAGCCGTAGGGCAATGAGAAGCACAATGTGGTGCCGGACGCCTTTTCCACCACTGAACCTTCGACATGGAAAAAGCATGAAAAAGCACGGTTTCTACCATCAATCTTTAGACGTTTGGACACTCGCCGATTCGGCTTGCTGGTGGATGAGACGCTCTGAGACGATCCAAAACCAATGACACCAATTCCCAATCCAATCCTCAATTGAATCATAATACCCAGACACTCCATGTATGGAATATACATATTAATATATATATATATATTAATGCCTACATTGACCCCCCAAACCACCGCAATGGGCATACATGGAGCGTCTCCACATATCTCCATATCATGTCCTATGGAGCCATGAGGCCCACAAAAGCTGTTCAAGCCGTCCAAAGTGTTCCTCGACCAGGACAGCGATCCTTCCCTTTTTTGGCGCTTCATGATCCAAATCCTGCTCGAATCGCCGCAAAGGGTAACAAAAACGATCCCCACGCCACCCCCTTCCAAGAAAACCCTTCCAAACCCACCCGCATCCCACCTCAACCGACCCGCTCGCCCCGGACAAAAAACAACTAAAGGCTTCGTCTCGGTCCTTGGAGGGCGCGATGCCCAGGACCGAGCGCCAACTTGAGGCGGGCACCGGTGGTGCAGGCCGGTTCCGCACCTCGCCTGCCGATGGTCGGCTCCGGTGGGAGGCGGATCCGCAGCGCCAGGGGTGTGGAAGGGATCGGGATCAGGGGCCCGTTGGACCTGACCGGTGTGGTGGACCCCAGAAAAAAGAACGACTCCGAAGCGTGAAACGGTGGAGATGAAGCTGGAAGCAGCACGTTCGTGGGGGGTTCGGCATTTTAGTTGACAAATGGTGTGTTCCAGTCACCGGATGGTCATAGTTTGACATATATATGACGTATTTCTGCCTGCTTGGCTGCTTGACATACCTAGAGGACTCCTCCGAGGAAGAATATCGAGGAAACGCTTTCCGGTCCTATCTACATTTAACCCCCGCCCATGCAAAAGCTACAGCGGATCCAATAAAGAACCATCACTGCCACAGCCACAGCCGCAGCCACTTCTTCTTCTTCTTCTTCTTCCTCTACTCTTCATCACTCCCGCCATGCCCATCACTCCGGCCCTGCCTGTGGTGCTGGCCACCTTGCCATTCTGCCGGCTGTCTGGCCGTACCTCCCAGCCTGGCTGTCTCAGCTCCCTCGACGAGCTCCGGGAGTGCCATGCCAAAATGCCTTGGGTAGATCCTATCCCTGGGCCGGATGTGGATGACGATAGGGCCGCCGCGTTGCAGGCCTTGCTTTCCATCTGCAAGCAAAATGGTCTATGTGTTTTCTTTAAATCAACTGTGACTGGTCATGGGACAAGCCCCACATATGCCTAAATGATCCTAAATGGAGCCCTTTTCGATCACCTGAAACCACCCCAATGTAGGCTGCCTCTGGTGCAAATGGAGTGTCTGGGTTAGGTAGGCTTTGGAGTTGGGCCCCGCTAAGTATTGCATCCTCGCCAGCATACCCAGTTGGGACCGTCATGGACTTCAACATACCCATGACAGTCGTGCGTCGTGGGAGAGGGTGACGACATTCCAAGTTCTAGTCCGCGACCTTCTAGGTAACTATCCGGTGAGCTTGGACTCAATGGGGAAAAAACCCAGTTCGTCACCATGAACATAAAACTTCAAACCAAAAAGAACGAACAAAAAAAAATAAACACGACAACAGGAAGATCTACGATGCACCGGACCAACAATCGGCTGAGAGCACCGAACGGCCCATGCCGGGCCTCCAGAGGTGTTGCTACGCTCGTCGGTCCTCGGCACGCGCCGCAGAAAGGCCACAAGGCATGAATGCCGAGGCCATCGCTAGTGGCATACATGGTCAGGTATAGCCTGGCAATGCTAGAGCCCTTCAAATGGAAGTTAGATAGAAAAAGTGGATTCACCACTAAGGTTTCAGAATGTGTTGGAAGGCGCTTCTAGTTGGGGACCACTATACACAATTTAAAATACAGACATACACCGCCATTAAAGACACTCTCTTCGGCGGGCCGCAGGTCCCCCCAAACCACCTAATTAAGTGGCTATTCCTGGAGTTCAGTGGCAACCCTGGCATCTTGATGGAAGCAAAGCCTGCAGCCTTCTGTGAGATACTAAGGAGAAACACATAGAAGATCAGGTCGCCAAGATCAGGGGTCCTGGTGGCAAAGATGGGGACTTGCGAGAACCGCCTCGTGCTTCTGACAAATTCTCTATATAAAGCAAGCGCTGCTGAACTACACTGGCTTCAGACTAGATGGCACCCCAAGATGTCCTAGACAGAAGGGGGGTCTGTCTAAACACAAAACTTGAGGGCCCACACGTGCCAACGTCCTCTCAATGCACTTTGAGTTTACACGGGGGGGCCGGGGATCACTGAATCCTGTGGGCGCCCGAAAACTGAAAACAATCGGATCATGCAGCCGACGACGTAGCTCAGTGCCTCGGCGCTGGTAGTTTGGGGTCTACACCTTTGAGGGCTACACCTCATAACTTGGATTTGCTGTCCAGGAACCTGGGAAACATATTCCCCAGAAGGGGATTGAACATGATTTATGATTTAACCATAGGGAAAATACACATTAAGAAAAACACCTTAAGCAAAACCAGCATAAGCACCCACAACATGTTAAACACCATGTAACTATCACAACATGTCACATACACTCCCAGGTGCCACCAGCACAAAAAGTCGTTACTCTTGAAGGTTCCTATGTGAAAACTCGCTCTTCCCTTAGAAAGATGTCACCTCAAGCAGTCGAAATTCCTCCCCCAATAGCGCTTCAACAGCGGGTGATACAGTGCTTGAAATGCGCGACACAGGCCATGCAACATGGAGAACCCCAAATTCATCTGCGGCTGATCCAAATAGATGTAGCAAAAATCGGCAAAGCCCAAATATATACACACACAAAATTATCTCCTGAGGTCCTGAAACATGTATTTAACTGTCTATATACAATTACTCCGGAAGAAAGAACACTAGTTGGTTTTAGAAAAGTAACTTCCTCGTGAAGCACGTCACTACCCCAGAGCTTTGATCCCCACCGCTGTTCGTCCTTCCCCTTTCCACGCAGCAAGGCACGGCTGACGCCCGGGGATGCAGTCGTGGCGGATCAGAGTTTTGCCTCGGGTCATAACTTGATGTAGCCAAACCACGCCAAACCAATGGGGTGGGTTCAACTGCTGGAAGCACCCAAGCCCCCGTCAGGGCACAAAGGTCACCATCAGGGAGTGATGCTTACCCATCCAGGAAGCAAATTAGATATGCATATGAAGGATCACCGGGTCTAACTCTGCAAAGGGAGGGGCCAGAACACACAGTTTTTTCTATCACGAGGCTGGGCTTGTTGAAACATCTTAGAAAATTGACATCCACTACGCTGATAACATTAGAAACACCATCCCTTCTTCCGCCGGGTGGCCTTCAAAGTTCCCTCCGAGCTCTTCCAGTCTTCAATCCCCCTCCAACCACCGACTGCTCCGAAGGACCGTTGCTAAAGCGTCTTCCCCAAAAGACAAACTACACCCTAGGCTTCCAAGACCTGGTTGCATGGGGTAAAATCCTTAGCAAAAACCATGGTTGTTGGAAGCCTAGGGTACACATGTCGGATTCGATCTCTTTGCGAAACCTTCGAACAAACCACGTCTTTCAAGTCTTTCGGCTGCGATGCCCCCCGCCCCGCGATCAGTGGGCGCCCCGGCGGCCGCGGTGGCGGGAGCTTTTGGCCAAGATGTGCTGCCCCCGGTGGCGTGCCGCATGGCCCAGCTTCTCCATGGCCTGCCGAGATCAGGCCGTGGATCTATTCCAGGTCGGCAGAGCATGGAGGACGGGTTGGATTGGAACATCGGGTTTGGGTGATCCAATGGGCGCGGATCCGAGCTTTTTTTGTGCCAACAACATCACAAAGGCTTCCATGTCAGTCAAGTGTGCTACCGTCGTTTCGAGTCGTCTTAGGGCCAGGATTTGATCTTGGGGATCACATGTCATGACATTATATGACATGAGTTCCATCAATCAACCTCATAAGACACTGAGCTTAAACATCGCCATCTGGTCTTTGGGAAACTCAGTTCCACAAATCTTAGAGCCTGAGTTACAAAGACCCCGCCCCGCTATGATGTCTGAAAGCACTGGAGCTTCCCGCTTGCACTTGCAGAAAGGCTTAACCCCTGAGTCTCGGGGTTCACTGACGGTCTTGGGGCGAGCATGTGTGACCTATGACAATCGTGGGTGGGAAGAAACGAAGAAACCTGCGTGGCCGCATCAAATGAAAAGCAACATGAGGATTCTGTTGATATTTTCGGGTTCGAGCAAGAGGCCTTCCTTTCCGAGTAGGACGCGAGTGGTACTCATCTGGGGTACGTTCGCCACGACTCCACCCATACTCCAACGCATGGCACCAAGGCAAGAAACTTTGAACATAAACATGGTCAGTGGGAGTTGGGGTCTACCGACTGGGAACCTCCTAAGAGGTTTACTTGAAGGTTGGTTGCTTCTAGTAGAGTTAGTAGAGGCCTTCATGGTCTTCGTTGACGTGTTGGGATCCTGGATGAGATGGGATGAGCCATCATGTGAGTTGTGTGACGCTTTGTGAGGTGCCCATCAAGCTAAAGCTATAGCTAAAGCTCTATCCTGTTCCTCCCTCGCTGCCTTTTGACCGCTTCAACGTGTTTTGGACGGCAGTGAGACAGCACGCTGAACAAACGAACGGCCCGGAGCGTCACTGCCCGGTGGCGAAAAACCCTCCGTGATTTTCACGGCCCGGTGTGGCCAACCGGGAGCCTGGAGGTGGCAAAACGGGAGATGGTGCAAGGACAGTGGCTCATGCAAAAGGACTTTTTGTGGGGTTGCCCTGTGTCCCGAAATGAACCGACAACACGACAACACGAGGCAATTTTTTGCTGGCACCACCCAGTTCGGGTGGTGATAGGAAGGAAAATGCACAGTCAGGAGTGTCTTTGTATACTATAAACATATATATACACCTTTCCGTGGTGCAGGTCCCTCTCTCCCTGTCTATCTCCATGAGATTTGCCATAGGCTAGGAGCGATGCCCTTAGTCTAGTCCTCATGACTGGCCTACAAGCCAGTGTGGACCAGCTGTGCTATATATGGAGGCAATGAATCTGCTACTGGGCTCTTCACACATCGGCTCTGCAGAAGATGGATCCAGAATCCAACAACAGCCTGTAACTCAACCAAGGCTACAGCGGCTGGGGCTAGGGAAGCATGGCCATGAATAGGCGGCTGGTGATTATTCGTGGATTCATAGATCTGATCCTGCATCCTTGACCCACCCAAGCTCTAGCTTCAGGAATGTCTAGACCATCACACACTGAACACTCGCAAATGTCTGTGCCATGTCCCGAGACCAGTCTCCAGCCATCAAGCCCTGTCACCAAGGCCGCCCAAGGCACCACTGTCACCACCACGTCGGAGGATCTGCCGCCCTAGTCATCCAAAGCGAACTCCTCAAGTCGTCGCAGTCGAGTGTCACTCACTCGGAATCGTCCACGCAGTCGAGCGTGTGGTTCGTACAGAGTCGCCGCAACTGGGGACGTCCACATGACGTGGGCCGGCTTTGGCATCTTGCTGAGCTGACCACAGTTTCTACTCTATCGCCGATCTCGATATCCTATATTACCGCCCCTCTACAGTGCAATGCTTGCACGGCACCATTCCAAACACACGCCACTGGTCGCATCTGAACGCAACGATGCAAAACAAAAAACGCAAAACCCCCGGCGTGGTATAGAAACAATGCCACAACAGGTGTTCCTCGTCAGGGTCGTATCAGACGGTATTCAGACGGTGCCACCGTGCCACCGATCTCCAGTGTGACTCATGGCGTTTTCAGGTGCAACGAGTGGAACACACCAAGCGCTGGCACGCAAGCGCTACCGTTAGAAACATCCTGAAACATCAAGATTCTTCAGGATTTCAAGGGGAAAACACCAAGGTCGGCTTCAGAACCATGAAAAACCACACTGAACTTAATGTAGACTCTTGATCAACAACCCCCGATACAAAATGGACGTCCACTTCGGAGGATTTATTCCTCAAGACTCTACATTTGATGTCCGGGACCCGTCCTGGAAAAAGATGTCGAAGTCCTTGGGCTTCGTCTCCGAGGTGAGCCCTGGAAAGGCCAGGCGCCTCCGGGCCTCTTGCAGCTCAAAGACCTGAGCTAAGAGGTTGAGAGACCGGAACTAGGACCCCTGTAGTGATAAATAATGATAAATATGGACAATGGGATGGACTATAAGGCGGTTCAACCTCTCTGGGGAGCTAAGACCGGATTGTTTGAAGGTGCGGATTGATCTCACCCAGTGCAAGTCGAAATCATCGCACTTCAAAGGGTCGAGGTCGCTTAGCTCAGAAAGCTAGGCACCTCAGGCACCCGGCCATACTCGGGCCATGCTTAGAAAAAATATCACCAAGCACCCTGGCTGTGTTTTCTTTCAATCTGTTATTGCATTTGTTCCTTTAGACTTTAGACCTTTGGACATCTTTGTCTTGTAGACCTTTTAGACCTCTTACAGTAGGCCTTACAGATCCTTTTAGACCAGCCATGGTCTTAAAGGCTGCAGGGTTAGCCACGAAGCGGACCGCTTGGTTCCGGGTTCATCTGGTGAGCAGGTGATCCTCTGCATCTGGGGCGCAGAGGAAGGGGATGAGATAGGAAAGCGATTGGTCAAAATCCAAAGAGCAAGCACCTAGTTTTCCGAATCCAGCTTTCATCAGCCATCAGTCATATATGTTCTGCTTGGGCACACTATTCTATTCTATGTTTATGTGAAAAATATTTGAGCATAATTGAGCTATTTTGAGCTATGTACTGGCAGAACGTCCACGCCTCCTACGTCATCCTGCCTGACACATGTTCTCAGCCAAATGTCCCTTCCACCTGTTGGTATTTGTGTTGGCAAACCACGGTGTTAGCAGGTTCTCCACAGACTTCCTGGGTAGGACATCAATCCAAGTCCTGGGTGGTCTAACTGTGCGTTTGAGGCTGCTGAACAATACGCGCCGTGGCCACTTGCCCGTTTTGGGGGAACATGTAGCTTGCGTTATACCAGGTCCGCCTTGATTCTTGCAGAGATACTGGGGCAGTAGGGAGTGGTGATCACTTAACGCCTTCTTCCCTCCGTTTGGACCCACGATGCCCCCCGTCACAGACCGGGTGGATTCACGACGATGTGTGCAAGGCAGCTAAAACGCGCGACCAAGTACTTCGAAAGGGTGGGCTTCATCAGCAAGACGCACAGGAAAAGTATATTCATATCTATTCTATGTATATATATATATATATAGACCTTGCATGACCTTGCCCAAAGTTTAAAGGTATTGACCATGAATTGTCCGGTAGAAACCTCGTGCATACAACAAACCAATTTGTAGACTCAACTGCTCGACAACCGGACACATCCCTAATCTTGCAAGCTGATTTGTGATTTATTGAACGGACATCCAGGCTGGAGGTGTCATATTCATCAACCCTCCCTGGAACTAACATGGATCGTGGAACATGGCCTCTGGAAATACAATTTCGACAAACAGGGGGCGAATTCCAGTTCCATGTGAGTTCCAGGGAGGGTATACCATTTTGGTCTCCACAGCTTACCACATACCTGGGGCATATCAACCAGGCCACGAAGGGGATCTGCTCGATCAACCGGTCGATGCGCCGGAGGTTGGTCTCCAGCACCGTCACCTCGCCAGACCGTGTCCAAATGGCATACCGCTCCTGGAGCCGCCCACGGAACGACGCCGTGTCCAGTTCGCGTCCAACCCGGAACGCGGAAGGGCCACGTAACTTGGTGTGGCAAAGGCGAGGAAGGTTGGAAAGGAAGATGGGTGGAAAACAGGTTCAATGAATGACCCTGATGCAAACTCTTGTTTTATAATGATCAACTAAAGCATTTGGATTGTACAACCTCTTCATAGCGGGGTGACATATAAATAAATAAATATATATATATATAATCAAGAGTCTACATTACATTGCTCCTAAATGAACCGACCATGTATTTGTGAAGAGCTGGGGACATTCTCTGAGCAACTGGCCCCATGTTGATGTGTGCAACAAAGAGAGGTGCTGAGCTTTCCGGGCAAACATTCAATCACCTGATCTGATCGGTATAGGTATGTTTGATTTAGATTAATAAAGCAACAAAACATATATCTATATCTTTACATATATACACATAATATATATATAGATAAATATATATATATATACACAGCATATTGCAGTATATACATACACCCAGCCACTCCATGTGTGTCACATTTGTCGACAATGGGCTGGTTTCGGTGGGGAGCAATATATATACATATATATATTCCGCACATGGAGTGTCTGGGAAATATAAGAGAATCCCTTTCTGGCAAGTTGTAGACCGTTGATCCTCCCCACTCAACTCCACAAAATGCTCCCCCCTTACGACGCTCCCGCCTGGGGCAGGCCCACTCCCGGCCCAATCGGCGCCCTTTCCGCACTCCTTCGGCCCCAGACCACTCGGCTCCGCCTCGATCGCCGCCCGCGCTTCCGCGTCCGCGCGGCGCTGCGCGGCGGGGCAGCCGGCCAGGAGCTCCGTGCAAAGGCCTGGAGATGGGAGGGGAAGCAACGGCAAAGACACCAACAAGTGTGTGTGGTCCGAACAACAACCCTTGGGAAAAAAGACATGAGATGCGAAAGAAACCCCGTTTGCTTCCAATGGTTCCACGGCATGTTCAAATCACAAAGTGGCAGTTGATACTTCGGAAGTTGAACAACCAAGAGGAGTCCAGTAGTCTCATCTACTACTAGTCTCGTGCATGTGATCTTATGGATTTGAGGCAAGAGTTCTGGCGCACGCGACCCAGCCCGGAGCCTTTCAGCGCTTGGAGCGCCTTCCGCTCCACTGAAGGGTCAAAGGCCTCGGTGGCGGTTCCCAGTGGCGGTGGCGGCCTTGGGGAACAGACCGGAAGGATGCTCAGCACCACAGGCCTAGGGATTTTTGGAAGGAAAATGCATAGTCAAATGACTAGTCAAAGGATATTTGATATCAGGCGGGATGTCTATAAATACTATCCTTTCCGTGGTGCTAGGAAGTTCAAGACTCTTTTTCATCCAAGAAGCCTCTGCTCGATGCTCCTCTTGCCACCATTACTACCCGCCAGCCCTGCTTGGCTTACATTGGAAGATCATAAGATCGCATGGCACCCCCCCTTGGATTATAAAAAACTTTCATATGGTAAGGCCAGAATCCTTGATTTAAAAAAAAAGTCAAAAAAAGTCAAAAAAAAAGACAAAAAAATCAAAAAAAAACAAAAATAAAAAAAGAAACAAAAATGTCCAGTCAAGCGACTCAGGAGCAAAAGAAAGTCGGCATATATATATATATATATGGAAACACAGGCAAAGAGGACAACAACATTGAACTAAACTAGTAACAAGCTCATAAGTCAGCCAAGGCAAGTTGCAGCCTTTTTGCTTATGGCTTATGGCTTTCAGTCTATTTAAAATTCTAGAACCTTTTTGGTTGTTCAACTTTCACCTTTTCCAGCCCCAACCCCCTACCCCAGAGTCGCAGGACCCCTACCCAGCCCCAGCCACTGTCCCAGGGTCTCTTCAGCCCCAAGCCAGCCCTGTCCCTGGTGGCCCTGGTAGCCACCCCAGAGTCCCAAGTACCCAGCCCTGTCCGGCCCCAGAGTCGCGAGCAGAATTGACTTTTTTTCGACCTTTTTTCGACTTTTTTTTGACTTTTTTTTGACTTTTTGTTGCCTCCAGTAATCCGCCAAGGCTAGGATCCGCACATTTGACTTTTTTTTGACTTTTCCAATTGACTTTTTTTTGCCGGCCCAGCCCCGCATGCCCCAGCCCGCCTGTAGCCTGCCTGAGCTCGACCTCAACCTGACCCCTCCGCCAGGAGCCAGCCGCAGCCAGCCCAACGCCTGGCCCTGGCAGCAACCTGCCCCAAAATTTGAGCAGCAGCTGGCTTGGGGCTGAAGAGACCCTGGGACAGTGGCTGGGGCTGGGTAGGGATCCTGCGACTCTGGGGTAGGGGGTTGGGGCTGGCTTGGGGCTGGAAAAGGTGAAAGTTGAACAACCAAAAAGGTTCTAGAATCTTTAATAGACTGAAAGCCATAAGCCATAAGCAAAAAGGCTGCAATTTGCATTGTTACAAGCTTTTCCTTGACTTGTTTACCTATGCAAAGTTTTTGTTTGACTTGTTTTTTGACTTTTTGTTGACTGTTGATTTTTGTTGACTTTTTTTGACTTTTTTTTTGACTTTTTTTTGACTTTTCAATTTGACTTTTTTTTGACTTTGACTTTTGGGATTGACTTTTTTTTGACTTTTTTTGACTTTTTTTTTAAATTTTGAAAACAGGTTCTTTCCAATGAAAGTTTTTTATAACCCTTGGAAAAAAAGACGGGGTACTGCGTCTACCCGCGAGGCTTATATAAACCGCCCCCTGGGTGCGGCTTAAGAAATCGACCAGTGCTTCTCCCAATATATACCTTAAAGTACACGACCTCTGGTGGCCCCCAGAACCCGACCCCCCACCGCAGCCTTGTCGAGTCCCAAATCGCTGAAGGCCTTGAGGCCCTCGGAGCTCACGTCCCGGGCAGACAAGACCAGCAGCCGCATCAGCAGCATAGTTTCGCGTGGCCAGTAGCCTCTGGGAAGACAAAGGCTTTGCATCTCATCCACATCGACGCCTGAGAGCCAATCACCAATCCAAAAGGCCCCAAACAAGATCCACCGGTCGGTCGACAAAAAGGGCGTCTTGCGAAGGGGACGTGGACCAAGAAAAGCATCGACTCGAAAGCCCACTCATCATAACCAGGAGGCCCTGTAGGCTGAGCCACTTCTTCTTGGAAGGCGCCAAGTCAGTTTGAGCCCACAACTCCAGCAGTGAAATCCTCAGGGCAAAAGCAGCAAACAGTGGAACCTCATTGGAACAAACAACAGTTCAACAGTTGGGTCTTGGACATGATCCTTCAGCCTGAGATTTGCTGTCCACCCCATGCAACCAAACATCTACAATCGAACCCGTGGAGTCAAGCACGTCATTACATGATCTTGCACCTGCCACTTTGGCTTTACAGATTTCCACTCCTGATATATATATATATATATATGGACTGACTCTTGATTTTATGCACCCCCCCCAAAATCCATTTGGGGGGAAGTAAGTTGTATTCATCGTTCGAGTCTACATTCGATGTCCCTTCGGACTTGATGTCATTTCCCAGGAAACCACTTCCACACAAAACGAGCAAAAAAATGAACGACTTCTTCTCCTTGGCCAAGCAGCTCCACGAAGTTGTGGATGTTCTGGGGCAAGGAGAAGCCATAAAGCAACAGCAGCTCATCGTTCGAGCGTCGTCCATAGGAGTCGAAGATTTGCTCCTGAGCTCCTCGCGGTGCTTTCGCTCCATCGGTCGACCGGGTCAACGTGTCAGGGCTCCAACTCTCCGAACAGCCGTGGCACCCGGCCAGCATGACTACCAGCTTCAATGTGGGTCCTTGACGGTCTTTGGGAGAACTACGTCTTTGCAATCACGCCTGTATTGAATCATGAACACTATAGTCACCTTCTTCTATCGTCACGAGAAGAAAAACAACAAACACATCCTCTGAACCCTCTGTTTATGAAAAAGACCTTTAGCACACCTTAATTGTGAGAGGTGTCGTCTCCAACAGACCTAGGGACCTATGCCTCAGTGAGTGTGGGATGCGTCAGCCGTGAGGCGCACTGATTGATTTTGCGCGACCGTCCTTGCCCAAACAACGTGGTCTTAGGCAGGTATGATCCTAGAATATCCTAGAATCACCAGGTATGGTCTTATGCAGGTCATATCTGCGGTCCACTCTGTGGTCCATATGTTCCGTATCATATCCGCGCTTCGGCAGTTGGAAAGCAAAGGTCTTCAAATGTTAGGGCCTCCTGAAAGTGATTCCAATGCGGCTGTGGGTTAAAAGCAGGGAACCCACGTTGACCACCGAAAATAAAGCGAATAGACTTGTACTAGCGAGCCAAGTACCAGCCCCAACCCGGCTGGTTTCGACCCACCGCCACGGGTTCCCCGCCATGCTTCGGTTCTCCAAGAAGGCGCCCCGTTCGGATCCCCCGGGTCGCTCCGTAAGGCCGATCCGTCTTCAAGAGCACCAGGCGCGATCCGTCGAGCGAAGTCGGCAAGGACGCAGACCCGGAGACCTCGGGGGGTGGGGGCGGGGTGGAGCAGGGTCAGCGCCCAAAAGATGGCAAGGTCAGCGCCCCGGATGGGTATAGAAGGAAAAACGGAAAACCTGACATCCACTGGCTCAAGAAACGGCCATATTAATTACTTACCTCTCATGGCAAATGCTTTCATCTGTAAGGATTTTATTGGCTACCCTCAAGTCCAGTTGTTTATTCTTGGATTTCTTGGCAACCTTGTTTACGAATAAAATTAACAGTCCAAAAAAACAAAACATTCGATAACAACTTAAACAAATCTTAACGTATATCGAATTAATATGATAAACTAATGACACACTTTGTTGGAATTACTCCATCATTATTACAAAGGAAAAATATGATGATATTTCCATTCAATGACGTCAATACTGGCAAGGAAACATCCAACTATACAGTACATGAAAAATATAATTACATGAAGATTCCCCCCCCCAAAAAAAAAGACTATAGGAAAAAGGTCAGGGATTTTGGAACCACAAACTCAGGAAGGAAAATGAATGGAAAACAGAGACAGAAGAATTACACAGAAAATATATTCCAGCAAAAGACCCCAAACAGTGTGACCTAAGTTCTTGACGCAGAAGGCCTAAAGATCTAGACGCAATGATTTCCAGAGAAAGGTGGTGGTGATGATGGCGATGGTGGTTATGTTGGCAATGATGGCGGTGACGGTGTAGTGATGGTAGTGGTAGGAGGCAGGACATCTTCCTAGGGCGACTGGTTGGTTGCGCCCAACAGTGTCATGTCCGCCCTAGAGTCTAGAGTGTTCGCACCGTTTGTGCCCAGAAGGCACGAAGCGTCGCGATGCTCTGTTCGAACTTGTGGCATGTAGACTGGTGAGGACGAAACCCTGATATTATGAAAAGCTTTGCCAGTCCACGGGGGAAGTCTGAAGGATATTGGAATGCAGTAAAAATGAAGTGAAGCAGGGGCAGTGGATCAGATGTGTATGAAATGCTCAGTGAGAAACACGGTGGCCAACAAGGGAGGGACCAAAGATACGGGGCCCTGTGAGGCGGTGGCAAAGGCCCTCCGCGGTGTAGCAAGCACCTGGGGTCAAATGATCGGCATTGTATAGAGGACCATGCACGGAGGACTTATATGTGATGGTTCTGACTCTATAAGACTATAAGTTCCAAACTAGGCCATGAAGATTAAATAGACCATCAAACTGCCCAAAATCACCACTTTTACGGCTCCGACTGCTCCCGCTTGGGCACCATCTCTCTACCGAGCAACATACGCTTTGGAGTCAGGGTCGTGGTTCATGAAATCGATGAAGGGAACTAAAGCAATGACCTCATCATTCCCGAAGCCTCAGCAGGTTGGCGACCAGCAGGTTGGCGCGATGGACCAAACGTCCCATGTCTGTTGCACGACTCCAAGAAATGGTCATTGAGACCATCTCAACAACTTCAACAAACTCCATGTCTTCAACGACACCATGTCATGTCTTCAACAAATACTGGCTGGGTCAGGAAGAGACCTTCGAGGCCTGGACACCTCTCCGAGGTAACATCGGAAGACCCAGCCAATCAGGGGCCAGTTTTTGGGGGGCTCTGGTCCACAGGGCCAAGTGTGTCCTTTAGTCTAAGGGTGAAGGGTGATGGGCTGGATCTGACCAGGATGTGCGCTTAGAAATGAACAAACCGCTAGGATACCTGCCCAAACACGACCTGTCTGGGACTGTCATATTGACCGATCAGTTGGGGTAGTGCCAGAGGGGTCTGTCTGGGGCGGCAGTCCAAACTGGCAGTCCTATGTTCCTCCTTATTCTCGTGGGTATGATGCCCCCCCTCCAACCCACCAGGCTCGCCGCCGTCGTTCGCCCAAGACGCGCAAGCGAAAGGATCGGCTTAACAGCACGGCGTAAGCCCAAAGGAAGCGCTCCTTGGTGAAGACCTCCGCTGGGAACCGCTCCTGGCGGGATGGAAAAATGTTCTTGGCAATGTTGAGGTACTCCTCTTCGATCTTCTCACGCAGGAATCCTTGCAGAACCACGCACAAAGCTTCAGACCACTACCAAAACCAAACCTGATTAGGATCTAACAGATCCTAAAAGGAAAAAGTGTTATCCCTGTGTTGAGCTTTTGACTTAGGCAGCAAGCAAGCAAGCAAGCAAGCAAGCAAGCAAGCAATGCAATGGTTGAACCCACAACCCCACAACAATAGGTGTCCAGTGATTCCAACCGCTTCTCTGAGGTGTTGATTGGCACCACCAACTAATCTTCTACATCCAACAAAGGTTAAGTGACCTGAACTAGGACCCTACTGGAGTACCTATGGGATAGTCTATAGGGTTCTTCAACCTCTGTTGGATGTTGCCTGATTTTGAGTTTCTGTAAAGAGCATCAAAGCTGAGAGCCCCTCCCAATCAGCCAGTTGCAATCACACGCTAAGGCTTTAACAACTTCAAGCCTCGCTCAAATGCTTACTTCTTTAGGATTCTTGTGGCCATCCACCAAGACCCCGCCACTACTGTAAGGCCAGGATGCGCGACATATTCTTGATCAGGCTTCCGTCCAGTAGCTTTAAGTCCTCCTCCGGCCAGGTAAAAGATGCCCCAATCTCCTCCATCGAGGGCAGCATCTCCAGATAAGCATGCCAAAAGGACTTCGAAGACAGCATGTATTTCCTGGCTCGCAGGGCTCGGCTCTGCCCGTCGAGTGAATTCATGGCTCTGTCGCCAGTTACAGTTCGACCGGAGGTGCGAGTTTGTCTCAAAACGTAGAGAACCTGATGAATTCTGTATTGGTCGGGATCCATTCTGTTGAAACGAGGAGTCCTAATGATCTTAATTGACTAAATATACTTAAAATTCTCTCCCTGACTTCAGGTCGAAGCATGTCTGGAATTTTGAAGAGTTTCAGCTCAAACAAGTCCGTTTCCAACCCCTCAAAGAAAAGTGGAAGACTCATGAAAGGTCTACACAGGTGGCTATCAAAGAACAATTGAACGGACTTACAGTATAACTTAAGATAGTCGACATCTTGAAATGGGTGATACAAGTTCATTTGGCCCCATATTGTCTGGTTAGTAGGGAAAAGCTGCGCTTTTTGGCCGATAATTCGTGTGAGAAACGAAGCTCCCTGAAATATAATGGTTTACTGTAAAAATGTGTACAGTAATATATAAGACACCCTAAGGGGTGTACATTGATAGCCCCTTAGAGGTTAAGGGGCGTCCATTAACCACCCCTTGTGGGTCCTAGTATATTTAATTACTGTATGTTCATTTCTTAATTTATAGACTATTAAGCACAAGTCCACAAAATGAAATGAAGGAGGCCGAACAATGGCCTTGCTCTCGGATTGGACATAAATGGGCAAGTAAAAGCCCTCACGTGCGGTTCGTCGTGACTCGCAAACAATCTTTACAGGCCGCGCTCCAGAACATCTGCAAACCAAAGCTCTCATGGATCAGCTGTAGCGCTATACAAGGATACTCCTGCAGTTGGGATACCACTTCTTCGCCCAGCGCCTTTTTGGCGGAGGCCTCGCCAAACCCAAGACCCACGGCAAGAACACCTGACCCGCGGTGGTTTTACAAGCCATCCTGTCCATGTCATGTCTCGCAGGATTGCCGGTGTCTCGCAATGGTCCCATCTATGGGCGCAAAACCGGGGCAAACGCACTGTGCGCATCTCCCTATGATCATGGTCCTTGACCTCATTCATCCCTTCTTCACTGGCAGAGCTAGCATGAGCAAACCGCCCTCGGTCATGCGAGCTCCCCCGATCCCCCTCAAGGTAGTCCAGCACACGGTCGCAGGACGCTCTGTCCACAGTCGCACCTTCTCCCTACCCAGTCTCTGGTCGAGTGAAACTGCCACAACCACCACACCACCGGCCACGGTTGAAATCAAGTGCAGCAGCTGTTCTCAAACAGCTTCCCTCTCCCAGATCTCCCAGATCTCCACACGCTCGCCTGGGTGAGCAGGAGCTTCCAAGGGATCCGCGCCACCTCCGCGCCCTTCTCCAAGGCGCCCAAGCTCCAGATTCCCCGGCCGCCCCGGGCCGCGAAGGCCAAGCGCGCGGAAGGGTGGACCTGGCGGAGCATCACTGGAACTCTGGGAGAACTCTGGGGTGATTTTGCGAGCTCGCAACCTGTGTTTAATGGTTAACTATTATTATATATATAATTTGCAAAATTGCATTGGTTCGGAAAAAAAGAATGCTTGGCGCAATCATATGTTTGTCCTGGCTTTGCTGGAAGGAAGCGGGAAAAGCCGGGACAACATGTAGAAAACAAACACACATCACCACCAGTTCTGGGGACTCACCCAGAACTGGGCCGAGTCAGGTTGTGAAGCCCCTTGTTGAGCTGAACGACCTATTCGGAGTGCTTGCTTCGGTGGGCTCCATCCTTGGAGTCCACCTCCAACGACCCGGTGGGACGTTGAAGGGTCGAACGGATCCGGACGTCCGGACGGGTGCGACGCGAGTGGGAAGGTGTGGGAAGGAGCCGGGGCCAAGAGCGAGTCCCCGGATCCAGCCAGCCTCATGGCGACCCCCGAGTCGCACAGAAGTCAAAGGTTCATCGACTCATGAGAAGCCAACTGTGACTACTGAGGTCCAGGTGTGGCTCCCGAGCCTGCTCCCCATGCTCCAGGAGCCACAAGGCCAAGCTTGAAGCATCCACTTCCACTAGCCCTTCGCCTGCACAGGGTTGGAGGTCGGTCGGCCCCAGTCCTCTCCACCTGCCCACGTCGTAGAAACGCCAAAGCACGCCGTTAAAAAGGTCTTCTCCACACCCCACCAACAAAGGTTAAGTGACCTAAAAAAAGGACCCATCAACTGGGGTACCGAACTGGGGATAGTCGAACATAGGGACTTCTATGATGGTTTCTTCAACCTCCGTTGGTGGGTGATGATCTTAGAGCTCGATACTTCAATCCAAAAGACCGCAAACACGTCCACTATGCCGCTCGCAGAAGCTGGCAAAGCATCGGGGACCTGCACCGAGACATCCTAGACTTTCTCTGTCCAATGCGTTTGGGGGCAAAGCACGGATTGAGTCATGTCACCGTGCTGACCACCTGTATATTTTAACAGCTTCCACAAGTTTCAACTGCTTTTCAAAGGCTATCCTCTGTGCCACGCGAGGCGGCATGTCATAGATACTCCTCACCAACATCGGAGTTCCACATTGAAAACGTCTATATATATTGTGCATGGCCGCGGCGCTGTAACAGAGACCACAACTGGATGCACAAAAATTAGCACCAGAAAAATGCTTTAAAAAACCTTTAGATCCAATTGGATGGCACTCTCACCACAGGAACTCCTTTTTTCACTCTCATCTATGGGCCCTCCTGCCCGGTGAAGCCATGGGAAGTCACAAAACCCTTCCATCAAGCAACACATCAGTAGGTTGTGAAAAAAGATATACCTCAAGTAGCATTAAATAGGTCAAGTGGTGTTAGTCTATAGTAGTAGTTGTTTCGGTCCTGTGGGAATTGGGACGTGCTTTGTCTTTAAATGCTTTCGTGGGGCTGGGTTGTGTGGGCAATACGACGGTTTTTCTTTTAAAATGATTTCGTGGGGCGGCCCGGGCAACCGGGTGCTGCTATTCCCTGTAAATGCTTTCGTGGCGCCGGGTCCTGTGGGAATTGGGGCGCATCCGGGGCGGCGCTATTCCCTGCAAATGCTTTCGTGGGGCCGGGTCCTGTGCGGACGGGGGCGCCGCTTTGCCTTTAAATGCTTTCGTGGGGCTGGGTCCTGTGGGCAAGCCGACAGCTTTTCCTTTTCAAATGCTTTTGTGGGGCTGGCCATTGGAAACGGGGGCGCTGCTTTTCCTGCGAGCGCTTTCGTGAGCCGGGTCCTGTGGGAATTGGAACGCCGGTTTGCCTTTAAATGCTTTCGTGGGGCTGGTCCTGTGGGCTCATTTTTTCCTTTTAAATGTTTTCGTGGGGGCCCTGTGAGAATTGGGGCTGGGTTCTTCCTTCAAATGCTTTCGTGAGGCTGGGTCCTCTGGAATTGGGCGGGCCGCTTTTCCTTTAACTGCTTTCATGGGGCTGGACCCTGCGAGCCGGCGCGCGGAACCGGGGCTCGGCCTTCCCTGTAACGGCTTTCGTGGGGCTGGGCCCTGGGGACCGGGGCGCCGAACCGGGGCACGGCTCTGGCGGCTGGGTCCTGGCAACGCTTGCGTTTCTAGCCTTTCCCTTGTGTTTTTTCTTGTGCTAGATTTCGTCAAATCTGGTGCTATTTTTTGTGCTCCCAGTTGTGCTTTTTTTGGTGCTAAATTTCGTCAAATCTGGTGCTAAATTTCGTCAAAGCTGGTGCTAAATTTCGTGAAATCTGGTGCTAAATTTCGTCAAATCTGGTGCTAAATTTCGTCAAACCTGGTGCTAAATTTTGTGCATCCAGTTGTGCTTTTTCTGGTGGTAAATTTCGTCAAATCTGGTGCTAAATTTTGTCAAATCTGGTGCTATTTTTTGTGCTTCCAGTTGTGCTTTTTCTGGTGCTAAATTTCGTCAAATCTGGTGTTTAATTTCGTCAAATCTGGTGCTAAATTTCGTCAAATCTGGTGCTGTTTTTGGTGTTTCCAGTTGTGCTTTTTCTGGTGCTAAATTTCGTCAAATCTGGTGCTAAATTTTGTCGAATCTGGTGCTTTTTTGTGCTTCCAGTTGTGCTTTTTCTGGTGCTAAATTTCGTCAAATCTGGTGCTAAATTTCGCGCGTCCAGAATGAACCTGCGAGCCAAAAGCAGATCGCTCGGAGCACTTGGCCTCAGCAGCGTTTGACTTTGTCGTGGCCGCCTGTGCAGTTTCTGGCGCTTTCCTGGTGCTTTTTCCGGTGCTAAATTTCGTCAAATCTGGTGCTCTTTTTTTGTGTTTCCAATTGTGCTTTTTCTGGTACTAAATTTCGTCAAATCTGGTGCCTGTTTTTGTGCTTCCAATTGTGCTTTTTCTGGTGCTAAATGTCGTCAAATCTGGTGGCCCATTTCGTCGGCCAAGCAGCTGTTAGGGTTTAGGGAAGATTTGGTTTCGTCTTGGCCTCTGTCTAACCTGCAAGCAACAGGAGGTTGGAATCGTGACCTCCACTTCTGTTCCGCGGCCGGTCTTTTCGAACCGTTGCTTCTAGTGATTGGTGTGCTAGATTGTCACATGAAAATATTTCACTTATATAGATATGTCAAATCCAGCAATGAACATGTAGACTGTGGCGGCTGGGGCTGGTGTTGGTCTGGTGCTGCGGCTGGCTGGGGCTGGCTGGGGCTGGGGCTGGGTGCTGGGTTGTTGGCGCTGGTGCTGGTGGTGCTGGTGGCGCTGCTGCTGCTGCTGCTGCTGGTGGCGGCTGCTGGGGCTGGTGGTGGTGGCCGCTGCTGGGGCTGCTGTTTGGTGCTGGGGGTGCTGGTGGTGGTGGTGGTGGTGATGGCTGCTGTGGTGCTGGTGCTGGTGTGGTGCTGGTGCTGGTGGTGGTGGAGAGGGCAGAGGAGGGAAGGAGAACAGAGGAGAGGAGAGGAGGAGAGGAGGAGAGGAGAGGAGAGGAAAGGAGAAGAGAGTGGAGGGAAGAAGGGGAAGAAAGGGCAGGAGGGGCAGGAGAGGAGTGGAGGGGTTAGCATATTCAAAATCCATTTGGAGAGGCCCCAGGTAACGATGAATTATCTAGGATTTCCTGGTGCTAATTTTCGCTGGTTGTCTTAATAAAGAAACCTTTTTGCAGAGTTACAGGGGGGGTGGCCGGACTCAATATATATATATATATATATCGTTCCCGCTCCCGCCTGCCCTGGCGGCAAGTCTTCGACCGCCCGAAGACCTCGATCTCCTCCACCACGGCAGCGACACGAGGCACGGCCGCAGGGCGCCCCACACGAGCAGCGCCACGCAGGCTGCTGCGCGCCATGGGGGAGGGGAACGCATGGCTCAGAATGGCCCGGAGGGGCCAGAAGTCATACAAGAATCAGTGACCAGCAGCTTCCGACATGGGGATTTATGAGGTCACCTAGCTGGAAGCCCCAGCCCACTACTCTCCAGACAGGACACCCCTTGAAGGTGCATCTTGTGAGCGAAAACGCCCAGTATCATCATATAATGATGGTGGGAGGGTACGTGTCCTTTCTGGAACAGATCGATTTCTTTTTTGGTCCGGCATCTTTGGGAAGGCCGTTTGTTTGTGGGCGTTGGTGGGTTGACCTTGCGGAAGAACATGATTTCTTGAAGATCCCCGTGGCTTTCAATAGCATAGGGTCAAGACCGCAACACATGGCTATGCATCTTCAGCAGCCTCCGCTTCATGCAGCGGCATGGACCCAGTCGGATGCCCAGGATTGCCCAGGTGGCTTCGTTTCAAGAAAGCTGGGACTTCCAGTCAGTGGCAGGAAAGTTGATCAACGAACCGAGGTTCAAACAAACCAAGCCAAGGGTGTTCGACCGGGAGTAGACCCGACCTCTCCTGGCTGGACATCCCCGGTTCCGAACGTCCTCATCATTGATCATGTTTAGCATGCTGCTGGTGATACGATGACCTCAACATTGTGATGCAAACATCTGAACTGGTAGTCTTGACTTCAAGTCCATTACCAGCATGCTTTTGACGCTTCGATCGGGCCATTCACACGAAATCCTGTGGGCAAGGTATGCTCAATCCTGCTGAGTGTGCCTGGGCCTGCACCGACTTGAGTCAGCCATTGCCGCGGAAACGACAGAGGAAAAGGGGCATTCCATGGAGCAATGTTGGATCTACACCTCCAAGAACAGACCTAAATGTGTACGAATCCTTGGATCCTCCACGGCAGGGGGTCCGGACCCCCGGTACTCATTCTTAGGGGATTATTATGTATATTCAGTGCAATCAATTCCTTGCCGTCCAAAGCACTACAACTGTTGGTCAAAGGGTCCCCACAGTCCCTTTTGGGGCGATTGACTGGACCTGCACACAGTAGTGGTAGGCAAACTCACAAGTCACAAGCTACCACCCTGCCCATGAATTCATGCTGCTTGCAAGCACCTTACCTTCAACACCTTACCATGCTATCAAGCACCTTCCCTGCCATACTTATCTTTAAACGTCTTTCAACTTTAAAGTCGTCCAAGCTAAAACAGAATGCGTCTGAGGCCTCCATCCTGGTTCTTCGAATGAGAAGAACAAGGAGGCACAAACATCACAGGTCGAGGGGTTGCACTTCTCACAGCCCCAGGGTTTCCGGAACGAAACACATCCAACATCTCCGAGTGCCTTGAAAATGCTCTCCTTGGATTGCAGACATGGATGGCAATCATTGCTGGGATGGTGCTGGCCAATGGTTTTTATTTTGGAAAGGCAGCAGGTTCTTGGTGCAGGCCATGTAATACTTCCCAGTTGCTTCCCCCCAGGGTAGGTTTCCTACACATACAGTAACAAGGCCTCACCCAAAAAGGGTGAATGTCAAATAGCAGGCTCGCTCATCCAACAACATGATGTGGACTTTGGCTTCAATATGCAACCTGAAAACGTAATTACTGAATAACTTGACAATTGAAGGCACATAAACAAACCAACAAAGGTTGAAGAACCCTATAGGCTATCCCATAGGTACCCTGGTAGGGTCCTATAAGGTCACTCAACCTCTGTTGGAAAACCAGCGAGCACATGCCTAAACTCCAACCCATGAGCACCCACAGTCGGGCACCCACATGCACCCACCTCCCTCACCCCACACGGAATGCCCGAGAAGTCACGAGAGGAATGCCCGTGTGAACTGAAGTGCTCGGCCCCCCCAGGGCGAAGCTGCGAACTGACCCTGTCAAAATCATCACCTAACTCGCAATCAACTGCACCACTTGAGTAGAATCTGGGTGCACTTGAGGTGCAATCTGGATTGCTCCCCTGTCTCCCCTGTCCCTCTCCACACATCTGACTCCACCGTCCTTCAACTCAACCCTTCACCCAGGCTCGGGGACTTGCGTCTTGCAGTCGAGGTCGCACTTCCTTGGCCGAGTGGCGGCGCGGGCCGGCAGATGCGGTCGTGGTTTTGTCGTGGAATTCGTCTCGACCGAAAACGGATTGGTCGAGCCAAGTGCGACTGATGGGACTGGAAGAAAAGCAAAGGTCAACGTACCCAGATCGGTGGGAAAATAGTTACTTGCATTAAGCTCATCAAAAGGGCTAATGGTTAAGTAACTACTATTCCATTTATGGAAAGGACTACATCACCCACATGGATGGTCCACATTACCCACTACAACGCCTACTATTCCGCACATGGATGGTCTGAAGTCTGGGGGTCGATGACTATGCCAGTCTAATCGAATCTCTGGAACGGTGCACGGTATGTGGACTTCGTCTGTTTTGGCGTGAGTGTTGACTTAGTGCTGAGGGCCACCGGGATCGCGTTGCCATTCAGAGACAGAGACCTGGAGAGGTTCCATTTCATTCAACTCCAGATGTCAATTCCAACATCCAAGGGTGTTCTTAGTCAAAAATTCCTGTGGGATGGCTGTGGGTCACGGCTGTGCCCCTTTTCACCCTGGTAGGTGGAAACACCGTCGCCAGTCGTCTATTCTCTTCATGGCACCGGTGGGAAGACCAAACCCCACATGTCAGCCACCCCAGGCTGCCAAACCCGGGACTTGAAACTTGAACCCTTTGACCAACCCTTTCACGCTATTCTTTTTCAATCGCAAACAAACAAACACGTGTCGATCTGCAGCGCGCTGAGCGTGTCGACGGAACGGCTGCCCCCACGGTCGACCCAGCCCAAGCATCGGCTCCCACGGCCGCTCGGAGCGGTTCATCGGATGCCCCAAGAGCACCGGCGCCGCCGCATAGCCGGCCTGGCCGGCGGAGTGGGGGCCCAAGCAGAACAGCGGCCCAAGCTGAGTAGGGGTGAACGATGAGCGACCGACCGCATTTCAATGGATTAATAGACATTCAAGTCGTGTTAAGCTTCAGATTGTTAGTGATCGTTTTATTGTTGTTTCACTTTGCTTTTTTCTATTAAGTGTTCGGTGTGAACACCCAACTCTCATCATTCTCATCGTCCATTCTCATCCATCGCCCACCCGGTGGCACGCTGGGCCTGCAGGTCGGAGAGGGGGTTCCGCTCCGCCAGGGTCGGCAGCACACTCCGTGCGCGGTAAAGGCCGGCCTTTCCGTAGTCCTGGACGCACGAAGTCGAATGGCCAGAAGCATGCAGCATCCATTGATCCATTTCACCATGTGGAGTACTAAATATATATATATGTGTGTGTGTGAAACAAAAATATATACACATTATATGTCTAAACTATTGGTTTGGGCTGTACTCATAAGTAAATTAGGGCGTCCCCTATCGTTTTTCAGGTTTTGACACTTTGCGGTGGGTATCGTTTTAGGGCGTCCCTATCGTTTTTGGGGTGACGAAACGTTCAACATAAAATGCCTTTACCATTGCATAAATTAGACTACAACTGATATAATATATGCAAAATTATCTAATGTAGGTTAATCTACATTTGTATGTATATATATATCCCTAAGGATCAAGGACCTCAAAGGTGAAGGTTTTGAGGGTCCAATGATCCTTAGGGACATTTACAACATGAACCTATATAAGACTATAATATACATTATGTACTACATATATATATATACATAGATATTGATGTATATATATATATACTATGGCTAGAAGTTGTTGAAGGAGGCTACCCTGTGTCAACTTGAGCCTTTAAAACAAACACGTTGACTGTGCCAAACTCTGGGTCCATAGCCCCCAAGGCCAAAGCCACCTGTCTTCGGGCGACGTCGGGCCTCGGGCTGGCACCTTCCCAGGTCACGAAAACACCGCCTTTGTATCATGTGTCTAGTCTAGTCAGCTGCACATGGTTCAGAACGAAGCTGGACAGTCCAGTGGCTGAGGAGTGCCCTTGTTTCACAGGGCTACATGGTAAGTCAGCAGCTCTAAGTCTAGTCTCCTTACATGTGACCGTTCTGATCCGAGCCCATCAGCCAAGAGCACTCCTCTGCTGCAGCATCTGGTCAACAATATATATATATATAATTCAAGTAGTTACCCTCACAAACTGTAATAGTGTGTCATGTGCGATGGTTGCGGGATTGATGAAAACCATGGCCACGGCGTGTACCTGGGCTCTAGCATCCTGCAACAATCACACAACTTCCGCGCACGTTGCGTTGCCCGACATGATTCCCCATATACATGTTCTGCATCTTGGCCAGCTCCAGCCACAAGCAACAATGGCACAACTTCCAGGTGGTCGTGCTGGGCTGCAACATGCAAAGCCGCTATATACCCTACCCCATTTGGTTTTGCTGCATCCTTGTCAACTCCAGCATCGAGCAAGAATCGCACCATTTCCACATGGCCGTTCCGAACTGCAATGGGCAGGGCCGTTGCGCCATTTGTCTTTGCTGCTTTATCAGCTCCAGCCTCCAGCAACACAAATTCCACGCAGCCTTGATGGGCGGCAATGTGCAATGCCATTGTCCAAGTTCTTGCATCTCTCAAATTAGGATTCAGCGGTTCTTGAGCTAATTCTGAAATGTGCCCAACTTATTATGCTCATATGTGCTAAGCAGCTGCTGAGAAAAATTTCGTCAGGAGGGCAATAGTCTAGGATTAACTGCCCCTTGTGCCGTTGATATAACTTAAATGCAACAGCAACACATAATATTGACATCTCATCCATTCTCATCCTGTAACTTGCTTTCCGCAGCACTCAAAGAGTCTCTGCCGAAAGTCAAGCATGAGCTGACATGAATTACGTCAGCTCCTGAACAAATTGCCTAGCTGAAAGGCCATGCAACGCCAACAACATCCTCGATCATCATGTCAAGCAACTGCTGTGCCAAACACTTCTGCAGCCTCTCTCTGCATGTTTTTGCGGCTCAAAAGGTTGGTCTCAGGGTGTCCCCAAGCTTTTTGTTCAACTGACAGGAG